GTGGTGGTGCTAAGCCGTCGGGGCGACCCCTCCCTGGGCAGCCCCTGGACACCGCCGCGTGGGGCCAGAACGTTGGTTTTGTTTGTCCCTTTGGTCGAGATAAAATAAAGCGAAGGGACCGAGGGGCAGCGCAGGGGTCCGGACGGTCACCTGGCACACGGCCGACCCGGGTTCGATCCCCAGCGTCCCCTAGGGTCCCCCGAGCACCGCCAGGCGTGGTTCCCGAGTGCAGAGCCAGGAGGAACCCCCGAGCACCCCTCGATGTGACCCCAAAAGCAAAATAAATAAATAAATAAAAGACGCAAAGTGACTAAGGACAAAATTGGTCCTCGGCCTGCTGGAAAGTCTCACCTTCGGGGCCGGAGATAGCTCCGGGATGCAGGCATTTGCCTGCAGGAGGGATGTGCTTCCTGTGCTCCAGCCCCTGCAGCCCCCCAAAGAACGCTGATGAGTAAGGCTCAGTGTTGGCCAGGGAGAGGCGCCCAGCTTCGGAAGCTTCTGGAGCCTGGGAGCTGACTCCACCACCGCTGCCAGGTGAGGCTCTGCTAGCACCGCTCACCAGCCCACTGCACTACTGCTCGCTCAAAATTTCAAGGTCGACTGAAATTTGTTTTGTCTTTTTAGAAATGTTGTTTTCTTTGTGAATTTTTTCAATCCTAGTGAAATACACGGAGTTGATCATGATTGTTGGATTTCAGTCATATCATGTCCCAACACCTGTCCCTTCACCAGTGTACATCGCTCACCATGAATCTTCCCGGTCTCCCTACTCCCCCAGGCAGGCAAGGCACTTCTCTCTCCCTCCTCCTTTCTGCAGTGCTCTCTCTCTCCTCCCTCTCTCCCTCTTTTCTGTCTCCCCCTCTCTCTGACACACGCCTTTCGGTTTACAATACAGATATGGAAAGGTTATTATGTGTATCTCTTTACCTACTTTCAACACCCAGTTCCCGTCCAAAGTGATTTCCAACCATTTCCAAGCATTATTGCCAGACTGGTCCCTACTCTGTCCCCAATGCTTGTGGGAGCTTCCAACCATTGACCAGTCCTCCTGGCCTCCATTTTCCTAGCCTTGGATATCAATCCCCTGTATATCTGTGTGTGTGTGTGTGTGTGTGTGTGTGTGTGTGTGTGTGTGTGTATTATGGGCTGGAGCAATAGCACAGCGGGTAGGGTGTTTGCTTGCACGCAGCCAACATGGCCGACCCAAGTTCGATTCCTCTGCCCCTCTCGGAGAGCCCGGCAAGCTACGGAGAGTATCTCGCTCGCACGTAAAGCCTGGCAAGCTACCCGTGGCATTTTCGATATGCCCAACGCAGTAACAAGAAGTCTCACTATGGAGACGTTACTGGGCCCGCTCGAGCAAATCGATGAACAACAGGAGGACCGTGACCATACATATTATATTCCACGAAATGGGTGCTTGTATTTGTCAAGGGAGTTGGGAACCATATCCAGCAGTGCTGAGGCTCCTCCTAACTGCGCAGGCATCACTCCTGGAGGGGATGCTGGGGACCATAGGAAGTGCCAGGGAAAAGACTCTGGGTTTGCTGCTTGCTAGGCATCAGCCTTGCCCCAGGGCTCTCTCTCCAATCTAGAGTTTACTGACTTACAACCTCGTATTACAGAATATTCACAGTACGATGTAATATTTGGATATCCTGCAAAGTAACCATGATTCACGTATAGACCGTTTGAATTCCCTACCATAGATTCTAAAGTCAAGGACTGCTATTGGGGCTTATGTAGGCTAAAAGTAACGTTCTTGCTCAAGCTCTTTTTCAGGAAAAATCAACCTGAGGACACGTGTGCTTCAAACGTACAGGAGTTGGTGCTTATAAACATCGTTGGTTCTGTTAATTTTGGGTTAATAATATAGCAACTTCCAGTTTCTTTCCCAGACTTTATGGATTGATGGTGTCTGTACTGCATGGTGTCCCTTTATTTTCGTCTTGTCAAATAGCTATGGAGAATCACTGAAGGTATTCATTTTAGGCTACATTGGTTAGGAAGCTTTGCAATAATGCAATAAAGGTTTTATTTGTTTTGGGTTTTTTTTGCCATTAAACCTCACCCAGTGGTTCTATTATTTTTCATCTTTTATAATTTTATTTATTGAATCACCATGAGAGCAGTTACGAAGCTTTCGGGTTTAAATCTTGGTTATAAAATGAAAGACCCGTACCTTCACCAGTGCCATTCTCCACCACCCAAAACCCCAGTATGCCCCCATCCCACACCCTCCCCCTACCTGTGGAGAGATGATTTTCACATTACACTCTCTCTACTTTGATCACATTCAATATTTTGACACTGGACCCACCATTATTATTTGGGATTTTACCCCAACACACAGAGCTGCTGAAAAGGCAACAGTAGACAATTTGTTTTCTATTCCTGGTTATGAATAACATATGATGTCGCGTGGTTGTAGTAGTGGCTGCGCGATTTTGAAATTCCAAAATTTTAACAATTAAATCTGGAGGGATTTCTTGCCAAAACCTGCTGGGTTCCAAGATTTGTTCCTGAGTCTGTGGGATCATGGCCGTTAAGCAGATTGATCGGGAGCCAGAAAGGCCATTAGTGGGCGGTGACTAGGGGTCTTGCTGGGATGGGGAGGAAAGGGCTGGTCCCACCCCCATCCCGTGAGGCCCCACATGTCTCATCACTGAGGGCCCAAACCTGACTGTCCAATGGCCTCTGGAGGATGGCGGCCACCGAGCCGCCAAGGGGGAGCAGGTGGAGGGACAGCACCCTTTCCTCCCTGGAATGGCCCAGCGACAGTAACCTACTGCAGGGTCCAGATGCATTTCTGCCAAAAGCTACTGGATTCCGAGATTTGTGTCTGAGTCTCTGGGATCATAGTCATTCAGCACCTTAATCAGGACCCAGAGAGGCTGTTCATGGGCGGCGACTTGATGTCACGTTGAGACGGGGAGGAAAAGGCTGGCTCCACCCCCATCCCATGAGGTCCCCCTTGTCTCATCACTGAGGGCCCAAACCTGACTGTCCAATGGCCTCTGGAGGATGGTGGCCACAGAGCCGCCAAGGGGGAGCAGGTGGAGGGACAGCACCCTTTCCTCCCTGGAATGGCCCAGCGACAGTAAACTACTGCAGGGTCCAGATGCATTTCTGCCAAAAGCCACTGGATTCCGAGATTTGTGTCTAAGTCTCTGGGATCATGGCCGTTAAACAGCTTGATCAGAAGCCAGAGAGGCCGTTTGTGGGTGACAACTTGGGGTCTTTTTGTTTAGGAAAGGGCTAGCTCCACCCCCATCCCATGAGGCCCTACGTGTCTCGTCACTGTGGGCCCAAACCTGACTGTCCACTGGCCTCTGGCGGATGGTGGCCAATGAGCCACCACGGGAGAGCAGGCGGAGGGAGAGCACCCTTTCCCCCCCGGGGTGGCCCGGCAACAGTAACCTATTGTGCGATCTGGACGCATTTCTGCCAAAAGTTGCTGAGTTTCGAGATTTGTTTCTGAGTCTCTGAGATCATGGCCGTAAAACAGCTCGATCAGAAGCCAGAGAGGCCGTTTGTGGGTGACGACTTGGGGGTCTTGTTGGGGAGAAAAGGGCCAGCTCCACCCCCATCCCATGAGGCTCTTCGTGTCTTGTCACTTTGGGCCCAAACCTGATTGTCCTGTGGCCTCTGGAGGATGGCGACCAGTGGGCTGCCAGGGAGAACAGGCCAGGGCACGAAATCTATTCCCACCTGGGGTGGCCCAGCGCCTCTAACCTACTGCAGGGACTGGACACATCTCTGCCAAAAAACATTGGGTTTTGAGATTTGTTTCTGAGTCTCTGGGATCATGGCTGTTAAGCAGTTCAATCAGGAACCAGAGAGGCCATGTCTCCAATTATATAGCTGAACTGGAGGTGGTTTGTGGGTATATCTCCCACATATCTTTTACCTGTTTACTTTCTTGGTCAACTCTGCCTCAAGTTTTTGGGGTCTGGCCAAACGCACGGCAGCAATTTGGGGGTACCTGGAAGTCTGAAGGCGCCATCAGGCTGCTGATGCTCTCGCCTCACAGGTACAGACTGACCTGCTGGTGGCACCATACCCCCAACCCAGTGCTTCTTAGGGTTTACTCCTGCCTCTGCACTTAGAGATTGCTCCTGCCAGGACACAGATGACTGGATGGGATTCCTGCCATTGAACCCAGATCAGCCACATGCAAGTACCCTACTCACTGCACTATCTCTTTAGCCCAAGATAAACGCTTTTAAGAAAATGGTTTACAGGCCCAGAGCAATTGGGCAGCTGGTAGGGCATTTGCTTTGGCCAATCTGGCTTCAATCCCTGTAATTCCATATAGTCTGCCCAAGCACTGTCAGGAGTGATTCCTGAGTGCAGAGCCATGAATAAGCCCTAAGACATCACCAGGGGTGGCACAAACATAAAGAAACAAAAAGAAATTGGTGTATCAGAATTCCATTGTAGAAACTGTTTGACTCATTTGACTCTATAGTTCTTCACTGCTAGCCAAAAATCTTTTCTAAAGAAACCTGAGAATAATCAGTTATCACTGGCAAAAAATAAATAATTTTATTAAAGTAGATATAGAACACTTGCTTGCTCAAATTTTAATACTGCTTTACATAGTTTGTGAAACAATTTCAATAATGGTCATTACTAAAAATTTCAATGGATCCAGATCTTTCACTTGTCAGACAGCTGATAATCTCCAGAGGAAAATACATCAAAATCATACATATAATTATAGAAGTTCTTATTATACATGTAGCCTGGATGGTACATTATCACTTTTGACAGAACTAGAAAACATTCAAATAAAGAAAAATAGATTGAAACTGGATGATAAACTTCTGATGGTTGAGGTCCTTCATTCAATCTTTTTGTGGTAAGAAAATCCAAAATTAGTAATGTTGAATTTCTCATCATACATTCATCTAAAACCACAGTGAAAAATGTAAACCTTGTAAAGACAGTAAAATGGTTATTCTAGGTGTTTCACAAATAGCTGATTATGTCATCCTTCAAGTGCTGGTGATTGCTGCACAGTGCAGAGAATGGGGTGGCCGGGCCGAAGTTGTCGTCGTAATTGTTGAGTCGTCCCCGTTCCCGTCGAGAGCCACCTCGGATATCATCTCCACTTTCATCTTGAGGTCCTGATTCTTTCTTTGGAGGTCCACGATCACGGAATTCAGGAAATCGATCTGTGTTAAAGGAGAGCGTGAGACGGTGAGCCATCTGCGGGAGCCATCGGAGCCCGCCACAGAGGAGGCTGGGCCCCGCTTCCAGTCCCCGCCCCAGGGTTGGAGGCAGCCAGAGCTCCCCTTTCCCTTCCTGAGCGCAAGCTCCCGGGTGCCCCAGGGAAGACCCCAGGAGGACATGCTGGGCCCCCTCGGTTCCTCTCAGAGCAGGGAGTCAAGAGGGCCTTCCCTCTCCTACAAAGACAGACTCACTTCTTTAAAATCCACGGGGCGGGGGGGGGGGGGGAAATCCCACTTTACAAAGGTAAGCATGACTATAGGCACAAACATTCATGTTTCACTTAAAAACTGGCAGGTTTGGGTCTGAGTGATAGCACAGCGGGAAAGGTGCTTGCCTCGCACGCAGCCAACCCAGGTTTGATCCCTGGCATCCCATAGGGGCCACTGGAGAGCAGCCAGGAGTGATTCCTGAGTGCAGAGCCAGGAGGAAGCCCGGAGTATCGCCAGGTGTGGCCCCCAAAGAAAGAAGAAAGAAAACCATAAAGCTGACTGATTCTTTTTCTCCCTCGGGGCAAGTTCTGATGAGGAGTCTCTGAGAGTGCCCAGGCCCTCCCACACTGGAGCCAAGAAACACAGATCTCTCTTCCTCCAGGTGAAGAAAACAAACACAAAAAAACATGGAAATGTTCAGTTCCCAACAAGCCCATGCAGGGTCCACCTCCACAGCCCACATGCAAAGTTCACTTCAGCCCACATGTGCCGTCCAGGACAACGGCTGTTAAGTACAGAAGTGCAGGAAGTGAGGGTGTGCGGGAACTCCACAGGGCACTGGGACCCAGATGGTCCCCTTCCTTGGAGAGGATTCAAATTATAAAGTGTTGCAGGCCAGGTGGGATGGAAGGGGGTTTGGGAAGGAGAGACATCAAGGAGGCCCCAAGGCTGACTCCTGCCGCAGGCCAGACGCAAGCCTGGTGATGGTAGGTGCGGGCACTGGGGTCTGCAGCCAAGTGTGCACACCCCAGAAGACCCCACCCAGCTGTCTCCCTCGACAGGAGCAAGAAGCAGGAAGGCGGCCCAGAGGACCAGACTCCCCAGCTCTGCGCCCAGAGCATGCACAACGTGGCCGGGACAGCCACATGTTGGTGGACGTTTCCGTTTGCGACCGGACCTTCCTGATGGGAAGGAGGCCCTCCAAAGTGGTGTTCGACTCTGGCAAAGTGAAGATTTGCCAATTTTATGGGAGCCCGAAGCCCAGGTTCTGGGAGAGCAGCAGGAGTAAGGGCTGTGGAGGGGTCTGGCTTCTCGGCTCTGGCAAGGACGTGACCCCTTGACTGAAGGGATGTGTCCTTGTCCATGGGGCCTTTCACTCCGTAAGCATCACCTCTTGTGCTGGGAGCATGTGGGGATGGGGTTCCGGCAGCGTGTGCCCAGCCCCTGGTTCTCACGCGCGCCAGGTGAGCACCGCCCCTTCTTCCTCAGCTTCCTTCTTTCTGGCTTCTTTTATTGTGATTAATCAATTCATTTGGGGGGGGGGGGGCTTTTGGGTTACAACCCATCGTTGCTCAGGAGTGACTCCTGGCTCTGCACTCAGGGACCATATGGGATGCCGGAGATGGAACCTGGCTTGGCCACGTGCAAGGCAAACACCCTACCTGCTGTGCTGTAGCTCCGGCCCCACTCTCGGATATTTTAAATGGTAGGTATTCCCCGACTCTTTTGAAGCATACACGCATATATACATATGTACATGTCTGTGTATGTATACATGCTCATCTATAACCTTTGTGGGTCGTCAGTTTGGTTTGTTTGGTGCGGTGGGGACTATGCCCTGGCTCTGTGCTCAGGGATCACTCCTGGCGAGGGAGGAGCAGCCCAGGCCGTCAGCAGTCACTCGAGCCCGGGAAAGTGGGGCTGTGTGGTCAGAGGGCACTGGCTCGCCTTCTCACGGTCATCAAAGAGCCTTGAAATGCTGCGTATGTCAACACATGTGGCTTCTCTTCCTGTCCCGGCCCAGGCTCTGGGCGAGCTAACTGGGGCGTCCAGTCCCTGCCGGGCTCCTTGCTCCGCCGAGCAGTCTGGGAGTGGTCAGCTGTTCAGTGATCTCGCCAGGCCGCCCCATGTCCCCCAGATTCTGTGTGGTCACTCCACGCAGCACCTCCCCAGGGGTCATACAGGGGTCATGCAGGGGTACACTTCCCCTCCTGTCCCATGCGAGAACCAGGGACCAATTACTCCTGGCAGTGCTCAGGGGACCAGATAGGATGCCGGGGATTGAACCTGGGTCTGGCGTGTGTAAGTCAAACGCCCTCCCCGCTGTGCTATCGCTCTGGCCCAGGATATAGTTTCTCTCAAGGCTGAGGCCGGGCCTACACGCCCTGGTCACCACCATCACCCACCTCATTCTGCAAGTTTGCATTGGTGTTCCTGGTGTCCTCCAGGGAGGCCAGGGTCTCTGTCTTCTCCTGGGACAGTTGCTGCATAAAATGCCTGGCATCTTCCGCTGTCTGCACAGCCTGGAGAGAGAAACCTCGTTGAGCCAGGCCGGGGGGGGGGGGGGGCAGGGAGGGGTTGGCAACAGTGGCACAACACAGCGCGAAATGCCCCACAAACCACCCACACCTGCCACAGTGGCTCCGGCCCCGCTGGCCGCCGGTTCATCCTGCGGGGACTCACGTCTGAGCCGCTCAGCAGCAAGACTGACACCCAGAAACAGCCCAGGGCTCCCAAGAGCCTCCATTCCTCACACAGAATAAAAATGACATGAGCGGACAGCTAAGCAGGCCTGGGTGGAAAGCGTGGGGGCGGGGGGGAAGGAGAGGAGATGTGAGCAGTGAGCACAGGTGTGGGAGTGGGAGAAAGGTAAACCCTGAGTGAGGTGGGAAGAGAGAACACCTGCCCGGCACCAGGCACCCTCGAGTCCAGGCTGCCCTGCACCGGGCACACTGCTGGTGGCACAGGGCACCCCCGAGTCCCAAGTGAGCAGACTCAGGGCAACCGCTCAAAGTCCCCCCGGAAGACACTGCTTTGCTTTACAACTTAGTGCCTCTCTCATGCCTTCCCTTACGTCTTGAAGAGCCACAGTGCAATCTTCCGTGAGAACTCCCCCCGGAAATGAACATACTGTCCTTTCTCGGTTTTATTCACAGCTTATGCCTTGTCCTAGAGGTCACCAGGCACGTGGTGACGAGCTGTCCCTGTGCCCGCAGCAAACAGCCCGTGACACACGGGTTCCGTGGGGGTGCACCTCTCCTTGTGCCGACGAAGAGCAATCCTCTTAACCGCTAAAAGGGGGTGCCCAGGGCCAACGGGGGTCGGGCCTGCTCCACTTTACCGTAAAAGACTGCAGCGTCTTGAGCTCTCTGATCTTGAAGGTGAGCCTGATCTTGTCCTTCTTCAGCATGCGGTTCTCCTTCTGGGCCTCCAGGAGGTTGGCCGAGACGTGGCTGCTGGTCTGGGCCAGCCGACTGACCTCCTTCTGGAGGAGGAAGTAACTGCCGGCCAGCTGCTCCTTCTCCCGCAGGCACTCCTCCTGCCGCTCGGCGTCAAGCGCCTCCTTGGCCTGCAGCACGCTGGCGTGTGTCTTCTCCAGGCTGCGGGCTGCGTCCCTGGCCTCCTGCAGCGCCGCCTCGAGGGCGCCCTGGCTGGCCGCCAGCCCCTGGAGCTCCTGCTGCAGCACCTCCAGCTCGGCCTTGTGCACGGTCTTGGTGGCCTCGTCCAGCTGCGTGCGCAGGCAGCTGGCCTCGGTGCCCAGCAGCTCCTTGGCCTGTAGCGCCGCCTCCAGGCTGGCGCCCAGCTTCTCCTGCTCCTGGCGCAGCAGGTCCTTCTCGAGCTGCAGCTCCTTGTTCCTCTGAGCCAGGCCGTCACGCTCCAGCTTCAGGGCCACGCACAGGCTGTCGAGCTCCAACTGCTTCTCGAGGGCCGACTCTTTCTCGGCCGTGAGCTCCTCGATCTCTTGCACCAGCGACTTCTGATCCCAAGCCAGCTCATGATAGGAGCACTGCAGCTTCTGGATGATGTTGTCCTTGTCCTTGGCCAGGGATAGGTTCTCCAGAACCAGCTTCTTGACATGCTCCTCCAGCTGGCCCCTCTCCTCCAGGCCCTTCTTACACTCAGCCACCAGGCTGCTCTTGCTCATCTGCAGCTCCTCCACCAGGGCCTGCAGCCCCACCTTGGCGACCTGCAGGGCGTCGTTCTCCGCGCCCACCCTCTGGAGCTCCTCCTGCACCGCCCTGGCTTCTTCCAGCACTTTCTCTTTCTCCGCCTCGAGGGCTTCTCGGCCGAGCTGCTCCTCCTGCCAGAGCTTCTCTGCGGCCCGCCTGGCCTCGATGACCTTCTCCTTGTCGCAGCGTATGGCTTGGTTCAACAGCCAGAGTTTCCTCTGCTCTTCCCGCAGCGAAGAGTTTTTGGCCTCCGCTTCCTTCAACTTCAATAGCAATGACTCTCTCTCTGACTTCAGAGAGAGCTTCTCCTTCGCCAGCAATTGATTCTCTGACCTCAGGGCCCTGAGATCCTCCGACATCAGCTCAATTTCCTCTGATGTTATTAGGGAAGTTAATGACTACAGAAACAAAAGCGGGGAAGAACGGAAACAAGAATGAGATCAAGCAGGCACAAGCAAGCCAAGCACTTAATGTGGCCTAAACACCAGAAATGAAAATGGCAGAGTAGTCTTACCTGCACACGCGTGCATACGTGCATGCACACACAAGCACACAAACACGTGCGCGCACACAAACGCACACACACGCACACACACACACACTCGCAGGATGGAGAGGCTCAAACACAGTTAACTTCACAGGGTCAACATATCTACCTGCCTATTTTGTGGATGGGGGCCCCACACCTGGTGGTGTTCGGGTCTCGCTCAGGGTTCTGTGCTCAGGGATCACTGCTGGCAGGGCCGGAGGACCATACGGGATGCTGGGGATCAACCCGGGTTGGCCAAGTACAAGGCAGCACTACCCATTCTACTATCAGCCATTTTATTTTTGAAATGCCGTCTGAAATTATTCCTGACAGCTCCCCGGAAGTTTTAAGTACAGTTGGATCTTGACATTGGGGCATAAGATTTTTCCCCCCACTTCAATTATTCCATTACAAAATCCATCACTCTGTCATAGAAGGGATGCATTAAAAAACTAGTTTCCAGTACAATTCAAAGAACTACAAAAAGTATTTTGTTGTTGAACTTTGTGCAGGAGGGGAAGGGAAAAGCAACCATTGCTTGCAAAACGATTTTCACAGGGACAAACAGAGGCAGGAAATGGACTTAGTCCCAAAAGTTTTACACTTTATAGAAAATCCAGACTAATCCACCAAGCTTTGGAGACTGAAGCCAACAGGTTTTGCTTGCCAAACACAGTAACAACAAGTCTCAAAATGGAGACATTAGTGGGCCCGCTCGAGCAAATCGATGAACAATGGGAGGGCAGTGTTTGCAGAAATTTGGGAGGGGCCCAGGGGCTCCAGGAGGAGTGGCCGCACACGGGCCAGAGTCTCCCTCACCTGCTCTCCCTGCCCGTCAGCAACGGGTTGTGCGTCTTCGTTTCTGAGTCTCAATGCACACCATAGTTTAACCGCCATGTACTTTCCAGAACTTTCTGCAGCAAGGGCTATCTTCTCTGTCCAGCTCAGCAGCCATGAGCCGCAGCAGGCTACTGGCGTGCGCTGGGCAGCTGACCGCTGACGGTCAGGTTACTGGAATGGGACTGACCTGAGCATGCACACGAGGCTGCTGGCCACAGAACTGGGCCGTGCAGGTGGTCCAGAGAGGAGACGTAGCCCTGGCTCTGGTGCGTGGTGGAAAGAGGCCGGGCACCAACACACACGCGGGCCATGGCCGCCGCTCAGCAGCCCTGGTTTCCTCTGATGTAAGCTCGGTTCCGTTTTCTTTCCACTGGCTTATAGATATGTATACACACACATATACATACAAGCACATATATGTATAGGCATACACATATATGTATAAACTATACATGGGACCAAGTGTGTAAAACTGAAAATGTATCAAAATATGTACATATGAATTAAAATACACTTATTATATGGATATAAAGATGTACACATATGTACATGTTATGTATGTACACACATATATGTGTGTGTACATTATTTTCCTTCTTGTTTTGGGGTTCACACCCGGCAGAGGTCACGGCTTCCTCCTGGGTGCTTGGGGGACCACGGGGGATGCTGGGGATCCCCCGGTGGGTCACGTGCACAGCAAGTGCCCTCTCACTGCACTAGTTCCAGCCGCTTTATTTCTCCCCACTGAGCTTCGAACCTTAACATTTCTTTGATACATGAAAAAATGCCTTTGAGCAGTCAAGTGAAAACACGAAGGCCTGAACTTACTGAGCAAGCTAAAAACAAAACAGACAACCCAAGCTGGGGTCCCTGGGCTTCTATGTGCTCTGCCGGGCGCCCCGGGAGCAACCCCCTTCTGGCTCTCACAGGCGCCGACGGACGGAGGAAGTGTCTGAGGCTGCAGGCCGAGGCCCCCAACAGAGCCCGACCCCGAGACGGCGGCCCTGCGCCCACACACCTTGGCCTTGTCGGCTTGCGTCTTCAGCTCGGCCACCTCCCGCAGCAGGCTCCCGTTCTCCGCCTGCACCGCCTGCAGCTTCTCCTCCGCCTGCAGCCGCAGCTTCTGCAGGGCCTGCAGCGCCTCCTCGTGCTGCGCCTGGCTCTCCGTGGTGGACTTGGCGTGCTCGGCCTGCAGAGCCTGGGACTGGCTGCGGCTCACGTCCACCTTCTCCCCCTGCGGGGAGCCGGGGGCCACCATCAGCTGTGGGCCCCCTGCCTGCCCCCAGCACACACGCGCGCACACACACACACAACGCATACAATGCACACAAACACACAAACACACAAACATACCCGCACACACACGGCGACTCTGCTCACCAGCACACACACACACACACAATGTGAGCCTCAGAGGCGATAGGGCCGAGCTCGCCTGAGGAGGCTTCGCTTTGCCCTCAGCAATGTAAAGATCAGCGTCCGACTCCCCTGGTACTCACCAAACTCCGAAGCTCTTTCTCCAAAGCCTCCTTCACTCGACTGACTTCGTTCAAGTTCTCCTGAAGACTACGAAGCGCTAGCTCCTTCCCCTGCAGCTCCTCGGCCAGGCTCTCGGCCTACCAGAGAGACAAGGATGGAGTGAATGGACCAAGGGGACGACCAGGAACAGGAAGGGGAAAACAAAACAGAAAGCACGTATGAGAAGCCCATGACCCAACACAACCCCGAAAAACAGAGACGTGAGGTGAGTGCGATTGCCTGAAGTTCTCAAAGCCAAGGCCTTGGCGCCGTCAGTTCTGGTGATGACTGTCTAGTGGTTACTGAAAACGGCTCAAACAGAGGCGTTTTCTAGACCTACATTTGGAGTGACCAGAAAATAAGAAAGCCTATGAGAAAGACTGACTTTCCAGGGGCGGGGAGACGGCACAAAGGGCTGGAGTACACACCAGGCCCGAGTTGGAACTGCAGCACCACTGGGCGAGCCTGAGATCGGTCCACAAGCTGAAAGACCCACTACTGCTGGGCGGGAGGACCCCAGAGCCGAGAGCATGGCTTGGCGAGGAAGAAGGACGTAAGCAAGGGAGGAGGGAGGCTAAGGATACGAAGGAGGGAGGGAGGAAACAGGGAAGAAAGGGAAAGGGAGGGAAGGGAGGGAAGAAAATGTTATCTTTTTTTTTTTTTTTGGCCCGCTTGAGCTAATTGATGAACAAAGGGAGGACAGTGACAATGACAGTGACCCTATGGGATGCTGGAGATCGAACTCACGTAGGCCGTGTGCAAGGCAAATGCCCTTCCCACTGTACTATCACTCTGGCCCCCAAGATTTACTTTCTTGTAGTTTCTTGTCTGTGACTTTAAAAGTTTGAGGGGTTTCAATATGAAATTTAAATTGAAGAACCTCTAATCCACTAGACAGCAGAACGTGACGTTTGTTACATCTTGATGCGAACAAGTGGTTCAACTATGCCCTGCTGTGTCCTAGGAATTGATTCTGTTTGTTTCTGGAATGTCAGCTAAGGAGTCCTGAGTCCTGAGAGGAACTCCCGGGGGTCTCTGGGTCCTTCTGTTATGTCTGTCAGTCCTGTCTACAAATCCCACAGCCCTTCCATCTTGGCCAACAGAGAAGTTTCTTCAACAAAGCGCACAGCGCCATGGGGGTCGGTGGGGGGCGGCTGGGAGGGTGCGTCCTGCCACCACAATCCTATAGGAGTTAAAGGGCATTTTTCCAAGGGGCTCCTGGGTGAGAACTGCAGCTTCCTCGGCTTGGCCCAGATCTCACTGTCTTGTCCTTCCCCAGGGTCAGGGCTACCATGAGAGTCCATGTCCGTGGCCAGCAGGAGGCCATGCTGGAAGGCGGACTTGGCCCAAGCACCCCTTAGAGGCTGAAAGGGATGAAATCTCTGCAGGGCTGGGCAGGGGCTTGTGCTGCAGGCAGGGAGGGGCCGGCAATGAGAAATACCAAGATGGGCCACGTCACCAGCCCTGAGGGAGCTCAGAGGCTCAGAGGCATTGAGCACCAGCTGGAAACTGAGGCGCCTCGGGGAGAGGTTGGCAAAGCCAGTCACACGAGCAGGTGGTCAGCAAGGTCAGGGAAAGAACCCTGCGGCCAGACTTGAGCCCAAGGGTCTGGGCGGACTCGGCGAGTACGCAGGGGGCCTAAGGGGGGGGCAGAGGTTTGCTTTGGGGGCTCCTATCTTGTTTTCTCACTGGCCTTGTGAAGAGTTCTCAGTTTCAGAAAGACCCCAGACGGGCCCGATTAGCCGGGGCCAAGGCTTGCACGGCCTCTGGGTGCTGGGGACCAATGACAGTCCCAGAATCGTGCCGACACGTTCTCAGTCCCATCAGAGGGAACCGCACGGGACGTGACCGGGAGACCTGTCAGCACCAAGCCGGAACACGGCGGTGAGCAGACAGACACACAGCATGCAGGGAGCGAGCGTGGAAGTGGGCGAGGGCACCCGGGTACCAACCTGCCACTCTCGGCCCGCTTTGCATTCTCTAACTCCTGAATCTGCTGCTCAGCCACCTGGAGCTGCTGCCTGAGCTTCTCCATTCCCAATTGACCTCGGAACTGGCCTTTCGGAGCCCATCGAGCTGCAAGAGCTTCTGCTGGGTGGCCTCCAGCTGCGCCGTGGCGTCGGCCAGGGCCTGGGCTTGCTGCCTACACATGGCCCGCAACCCCTCCAGGTGCGTTACCTTCGTCTCCGCCTCCTGCAGCTTGTTCAGGGCGTCCTCCATCTCCACCAGGTGCTGGTCCTCGGTCTGGTCGAGCTTGGCCCGCGCGGCCTCCAGGCTGTTCTTCTGCTCCTGGGCTGTCCTGACCAGCCGCGACCTGAGCGTCTGCAGCTCAAAGGCGTGCGCTGCACGCTCAGCCACCTGCTGGGCCTTCGAGTTCTCTACCTCCTGCTGGTACTCGAACTGCAGCCTCTCCATCTGCATCTTGAGCTCGGCCAGCTCGGCCGCCTCGGCGCCCACGCCCCGGCTCACGGACGCCTTCGGCTCGCCCATGGCCTGTTGGTGCGGGGCGATGGCCGTCTCCAGCTTGGACTTCCACGGGGCGATCACGTCTGTGTTCTCCTCGTTGGCATGGTCCAGCTTAGTTCTCAGCCCCTCGTTCTCCTTGGCGAGCTTCTCGGAGGCCGCCTGCAGGGCCTTCACCTCCTTCTGGTGGGAAAACAAAATTTCCATGAACTTAAAACAGGAAGGAAAAGAAGCAGAAATAGAAATTATTCTTTTGCAAACTGACTGTTTGCTTTTTCTTGTTTTAAGGAATACCTTCCAATAAACTGGGGTTCTAAAGGATTTGATTTGTGCTGCTCGACTGAAAATCAAAGCTGAGGCAAAGGCGTAGACCCAACTGTCAGAACGAGAGGAAAACGCTCATCAACAGCAGCCTCCGGCCCCAAGGAGCAGAGGTGCCTCCGCCGGGCCCTGCCAGGTGCATGACCCCTGGTATCCCTGTCTGATTCGGAGTCTCCAGCAGAAGTGGTCCCGGCGGGGTCGGCCAGGCCACCCCGCATCCTTGCCTGCACCCTGCAAGCCTCTGGGACCTGCCCGGGCTTTACCTCCAGGTCGCCCTTGGTGATGGACTCCTCTTCGACTCGGAACTGGAGGTCCTCCACTTTCCTGTGGGGGAGAGGGAGAGTTGTGAGGGGCGTCACTGCTGCCCCCCATGAGGGCCACCATCCTGTAGATGCGCGCCTGACCCAGCCCCCGCCTCCACACACAGGAGGGCTGAGAGAGTCAGCGAGGGCCAGAGCGAGAGTACAGCGGACAGGGCATTTGTCTTGGCACGTGGCCGTCCCGGGTTCAATTCCCAGCATCCCATTATGGTCCCCTGGGCAATGCCAGGAGTAATTCCTGAGTGCCGAGGCAGGGAGCATCGCTGGATTGACCCAAAAAGAAAAAAAAAAAGTCAGCGAGTCCCCTCGGCTGTGAGCACTGGGTGGTACCCGCAGGCTACAGGAGGAAGCTCTGTCGAGCCAACGCCAGGCGCACTGTCATATCAGCCTTTTCTGCCTCGCAGCTAACAGAGGTGGTTAGAGACTGACCAGGTGCGCGTGCCAGTCCCTCCCAGCCAGCGCCTGTCCCCGCATCGGGACAACAACTGAGCCCCTGGGGGAGAAGCAGCAAATGACTCGGGGCCAGGGCGGGGGGGCAGGAGGGGCTCCCAGGGGACGTGGCGAGTTCGGCATGTGGAGCTGAGGGGCTGAGCCGGGCACTGGCAGTGCCCCTGGGCACCACACTGCCGGGAGCCCATCTGAGAAGACCGTCTTGGCCGGCACCCCGTGTCCGTCTGTCTGCAGCCTGGCCTGAGCCCTGCCTGTCTGCTGCCGTGCCCCATGGGTGCTGCGGGTTTCCTCCCGCCCAGGATTAACCCCAGGGACTCCCACAGGGCCCCACTGGGATACGACAGTTCCCGGCCACCCAGCACAGGTCTCCTGAACACCAGGCCACGTGGACACAGCAGGGAGGGCCGGGGGTGGCTGGGCTCCAGTGAGCTCCCCCCATCCCCCCCAATGAGGCCACTCTCAGGACTGGGCACCCGCTAGTTTGTGGTTCTCACAGCCCTGGAAGGCCAGGAGCACCCCACCCGAGGCAGCCCCCCAGCTCCTGGCACGGCCTCACCTCTTCTCCTCCTCCAGCTGGTTCAGCAGCTCCACCTTCTCCCAGTCGGTCGCTTCCAGCATGGCCCGCAGCTCGTCCATCTTGGCCTCCAGCTCCAGGACGTGCTGTGGAGGCAACTGCGCGTGAGTGTCCTCGCCCGCCCCCGACAGCCCTCTGTGGGCTGGCACCGCCACCTGCCACCGCGGCATGCTGAACACGTCTCCCACCTAAGCTGCAGCGTTTCTGGAAGGCCGGGGGGGAACCACACCACGAAAGCACCAGCGGGGATAACTCGGTGCTCCCTGAACCCCCACGGGGTGAGCAGAAGGTGCATGCGATCAAACCACGCGCCGGATGCCACCGCAACGACGGCAGACGGGGACCCACGGCCTCTCCCTGCACCGCCTGCACCAAGGTCGCGCCCAGCATTTGCCGCAAGCGTCTCTTGGCCCCGGCACTGCCGTCTGCACAGACGTCACCTGGTCGTGCCCGTCCCAGCCAGGGCCAGCTCCTGCTCTATCTCCCCCACATGGCTCGTGGCCTTGGCCACCTCCACCCGCTCCAGGTCTCGCTCGGCCAGCAGCTGCTCAATGTGCTGCTGCTTCTCCTTCAGCGCCTCCTGGAGGGCGGTTGTGCTGGAGATCTTGCAGGCATAGCGAGAGGAGGTTTCTGGCAACTGCAAAGGAAAAAGAGACGTGAAGGGGGTGGGGGTGGCGGACGCGGGCATGCACACGGCTATCCTCAGCAAAGCAGATGGAGCAGCGCTGCATCCGTGCATATGGGCCAGCGACTCTCAGCAGAAGCGTCTTGAAACCTTCCCGAAGGTCCTTGGACGGGACCTGGGCTCCACTGACCTCGGGCCTCGTGGGAATCCAGAGACTCTTCTGCAGAGCCGGAGGCAGCCCCCTCCACAGCCCGCTCTGGCCTGAGCTTCCTTAAGGCTGAGCCCTTGGCATGAGCTTGAGGCCGGCTCCAGCATCTTCAGCCTTGCAGGTCCGTCAGGGTCTCCCAGGGCAGCCTGGCCCTTCTCTCTTCCTCTTCCTTCCAGCTCACCTCGCTCTCCCCAGCACCCGCCCCAGGCCTGAATAGCAGTAACCAGAGACTCTTGTCTCTGGGAATGGCCCCGTGCCCCTGAGGGTCACTGGGTGTGACCCCATAAAAGACCCCTGTGCCATCTGCCTTCGAAAGGGGGGATGAGAGGCTAGAATGGTAAAGTTGCGGGGAAGGCGCTGGCCTTGCACGCCGCTGCCCGAACTGGATCCCAGGTACCCACCCCATAGGGTCCCGAGCCCACCAGGAGTGAGTCCTGAGTGCAGAGCCCGGAGGAAGTCCTGAGCATTGCTGGGGTGTGGGCCAAAATCCAGGAAAAAAAGGAACAAGTGGTGGGTGAGCATGTGTGAGGGTTCACGCCCAGCGAGCAGGACAGCAAGGGCAGCTCAGGGGAAGACCAAGCACAAAGGGAAGGAGAGAAGAGGCAAAGACAGTGAGGAGGGGAGGGGAGTGGGCTGGAGGGCCGCGGGGACCGGGGGTCCTGTCCGTTCTGTCCTGGGCTCGTGGTCACTCATGGTCGCTCTGCAGACCAGTTTCCTTGCGGCACAATGGCCCCTGCAGGCGGGGACACAGCGGGACCTGGTCTTCATTCTTCAGGCACACGGTGGCGGGCGCTGGGGCGGGGGTGGCCGAGGACGTCCGCTCCTTCTGCCCGGCCACGCCTGACCCATCGCCCTGCTCTTGCCGCTTCCCTGCATCATCTGAGCTGCTGCCAATTGCCTGCTGACTGACGGGCCCAGCAGGGCCCAGGCTGTCCACTGCTGCTTTGCCTGCTGCGAACTCTCGAGCTACCTGGTTCTGTCCGGGGAGCGGGTCATCCTTGCCTCTGCGTAAGGATCTGGCCGTGACTCCCCAATACACTTAAAGTATATTGGTCAGATTAAATGCTCTCCCCAGGGCCAAAGAGATTTCTTTTTTGGGGGGTGGAAGGTGCTTTCAGAGGTTCAAGATCCAGCACTGTCAGGAGTGACCCCAAGAGCAGAGAGCCAGGAATAAGCCCTGAGCACCCCTGAGTGTGGCCCCAAAACCAAATAATAAATAAATAAAATTTCTAGGAGCACACGAGCTCTCCGGCCCAGCCATGTGCAGTGCTGCCGGGAACTGCAGTCAACTCTGATTTCAAGGGGTGGCTGGGAAGAGCTTGACAGCCTTGGGGGTCTCCACCAAGACCTGGGCTCAAACCCCCTCCACCGGGAGCAGCCCCCAAGCACCACGCCTGGAGTCCCTGAGCACTGCCAGGTGAGCCCCAAAACCAAAGAGCAAAAATAAACTAGGAAAGGTGGGCGGCGGTGTTCCCCGAGCCTCCTGGCCTGAGCGGGTGGGGCCGGCTGGACGCACGCGCTTCCTGGGCCCGAGACAGCTCCCTGAGGAAACGAGCACGGGAGCGAACGGCTTCTTTCAGCCAACCGTGGAGACCAGACTGCGAGGTTCAGGCGCCGGAGCAGGGAGAAAGCAGCACCCCTGGTATGGGGGGAGGCGGTGCTGAGGGGCTGGGCAAGGTCGGGGCCACGAGCTGAACTCAGGATGTTGATGCCAAAGCCTCTGCCCTGCGCATGGTGTGTGAGGCCCCAGGCTCCATGCCAGCAAGGCCGGACCCTCTGTGGGAGCCTGGTACCTCAGAAGAGCAACTCAGCCAACACGCGAACCGGGAGGCTCCCCCAGGGCACGCACGGACCTGTGTGCATGTATGTATGCGTGCACGTACGTTCCTGTGGGCATGTCTACACACAGCTGTGTGCGTGCGCGCGTTGTGTCTATGCAGTACGTGCCTGTGTGTATACACCCATCAGCCTGTGTATATACGGTATGCACTACGTGTACATGTATGAGTGCCTGTGTGTGTGTGAACGCTTGTGTGTGCACGTATGGAATTACGTTATGGAGGTATACTTCCATGAAGCCACACAGACTCATTCTATATTCCTGTCATATGTGCTAACGGTGATGTGCAGTGTAGGAGTGAGCTCCACCCTGCGTAAAGATATGCAAGGCAGGGGCCAAAGAGCTGGAGAGCGAAGCCCCAGCGCTGCCCAGGCTCAATCCCGGAGGCCCGCCAGGAATAATCCCGAGCACAGAGGCGGGAGAAAGCCCTGGGCTCTGCCAGGTGTGACCCCAGAACAGAACAAAACAAGACAGCGGGGGGAGGCTGGAGATACGGCTCAGGCGTGGGGCTCTTGCTCGGAGGTGGGAGGCCCGGCTCAACCCCAGCACTGCAAACGGCCCCTTCAAGCACTGCAGGGTGTGGCCCACAGTCAAGCAGAAAAACAAAACCGAATTCCACAAACGGGCTGGCTCGCGAGGGAAGGAGAGGGGCTTCTGAGTCTGCTCCCCTCCTGAATGGCGAGGCGAGGGGAAGGAGGAGTCGGAAGTGAGGATGGAGGCAGGGCAGGGAAACCTGGTGGTGGTCGAGCAAGACAGGACTGGCCCCAGGCCTGTGCCCACGGCGCGCGGCCTCCTGGCTCCCGTTTCCGTGTCACCTGTTTTGTATCTTCCGTTGCACACACACTCACTCCCTCCTCTTCCGCATCGAGGGTCAATGCAGGGAGCAGAGGGGGCGGCAGGAACCGCAGCCCCCAGCAAAGCCAGCCCCCCGGGACACGTCTCCATCGTGGGCCCGTTTCCCTGTGGACAATATCTCAGGACACCCTTGCACAGTCGGACACACTTTAGTGTTTAGGACTCAGAGAGACGTGAGGGGAGAAGCCACGAGGCCCCAGCTTTGACTTGCGGCCCCGCAATGGACAGAAGTCGAGGCCCCTCTGTGTCGACAGGGGTGCAGAGGGACAGGAGGGAGCAGGGAGGGACGGAGAGAGCAAACAAGCAACGCCAAGTGCCAAGCGTTCCCCAGAGTCCCTGGGTCCCGCTCTGACCCTCCGACGCCCCCTTCAGCTTCCCCACTTCATCGCTACGGCAGCCTGGGGCCGGAGACGAGCCCTGAGCACCGGAGGAAAGGCCCATCCCTGCTCCTGTCACCGGTGGTGGCTGGGAAGCCACTCGCCTGCCCCCCGGAGCTGCCCAGCCCACCCGGTCCTGTTCCGCCTCTCGCCCCTGGGGCCTGGGAGTCTGTGGGGGCCTGAGTATCGCACAGGGCGGGGGAGGGGGCTGCTTACTAGTTCCGTGTGGCTGGGCCTGCTGCTCACGGATGAGGCCACGGAGCTCACGGAGCTGAGCGAGGAGGCCGACGGGCGGCGCTTCAGGCTGGCGGGGGTGGTGGCCATCACACGCCTCGCGGGGGCCGCCTTGGCCTTGGCCGGCGTCGTGGAGGGGAAGCCAATCTTGGTGACTTTGTGAATGGGAGCAAACAAACCGTACTTGGGCTGACACTGGAAGTACCTGCGGACAACGAGGAGGGGGGGACAAAAGACACCTTTGGCAAGAGAGACAGGCGCCGACCGCGGAGTCCACTGAGTCCCACAGTCTCACACCCCCACAAACTAACACGCTCCCACAGCCCCACACTCCCACACAGTCACACCCCAACCAACTCTCCCACACTCTCACACTCCCACTCACCCCAACAAACACACTCACACCCCAACCAAGACTCCCACATTTCCACAGCCCCACACTCACATACACTCACTCCCCAACAAACACACACACTCACACACCCCAACCAACACTCCCACACACTCACGCCAACCAACACACACTCACACTCACACCCCAACCAAGACTCCCACATTTCCACAGCCCCACACTCACACACACTCACACCCCAACAAACACTCCCACACTCTCACACTCCCACTCACCCCAACAAACACACTCACACCCCAACCAACACTCCCACATTTCCACAGCCCCACACTCACATACACTCACTCCCCAACAAACACTCCCAGACTCACCCGAAGAAACACACACACTCACATCGCAACCAACACTCCCACACTCTCACACTTCCACCAAAACAAACACTCACATTCACACCCAAACCAACACTCCCACACTCCCACAAACTCAAACCCCAACACACACACACACTCACACCCCAACAAACACTCCCACATGCTCACAGCCGCCCCACACTCGCACACACTCACTCCCCTAGAAACACCCATTCACACACAACCAACACTCCCACACACTCACACCCCAACCAACACACACTCACACCCCAACAAACACTCCCAGACTCACCCCAAGAAACACACACACTGACATCGCAAACAATACTCCCACACTCTCACACTTCCACCCCAACAAATACACACACTCACACCCCAACAAACACTCCCACATTTCCAGAGCCCCACACTCACACACACTCACTCCCCAACAAACACTCATACCCTCCCACAGCCCCACACTCACACATACTCAAACCCCAACTAACACACACTTACACCCCAACCAACACTCCCAAACACTCTCACCCCAATAAACACTCCCACACTCACCCCAAGAAACACACACACTCACACCCCAACCAACACTCCCACACTCTCACACTCCCACCCCAACATACACACACTCAGAGCACAACAAACACACCCACATTTCCACAGCCCCAAACTCACACACACTCACTCCCCAACAAGCACTCATACCCTCCCACAGCCCCACACTCACACACTCACACCCCAACTAACACACACACTCACACCCCAACCGATATTCCCGCACTCCTACACACTCACACCCCAACCAACACTCCCACAGCCCCACACTCACACACTCACATCCCAACTAACACACACACTCACACCCCAACCGATATTCCCACACTCCTACACACTCACACACCAACCAACACTCCCACAGCCCCACACTCACACACTCACACCCCAACTAACACACACACTCACACCCCAACCGATATTCCCACGCTCCCACACACTCACACCCCAACCAACACTCCCACACTCCCAACGTCCCACACTCACACTCACACTCACACCCCAAAAAAAAACACACTTACACTCAAACCCCAACAAACACTCCCACACTCCCACAGCCCCAGTCACACACACGCACACCCAACCAACACTTGCACGCTCTCAAACCAACAATGACACGCTCTCATTCCCTCACAAACATGCTCACACCCCCACCAACACTCACATGCTCATGCCCTCACCAACATTCACAGCCCCACACTCACACGCTCACATACACACACCCTCATACATACATATCCACACTCCGAAGCACACACATTCATACATTCACACACACACTCCCTCGCACGCCTCCCACCCCCACCGCGCAAACCAAGGGCGATTCCAAGCAGCCTCCCCGGCATCTGAAGGGCGACAGCAGGCCCGGGGGTTCCTGCGGGCAAGCACAGCTGCATGTGGGAGCCCCAGGCTGTCCCCACATCCCTGCAGGGTCCCCGAGTGCCACCGGAAGTGGCCCCGCCTAAGAACCAAGTGAAGTGGCCTGCAGTCTCCTCAGCGCCTCCCGGGCACCGTGCATTGCCCCAGGCTGTCTGGGGGGGGGGCAGGAGGACCCACCTCGTTCCGGCCACGGCGCCATCGTTCTTGCCCAGCGGCTTGTCCAGCTCCACGCCGCACCAATCCCCCTTGGCGAAGTACGTCTCCCCGAGGAAGCGCACCACACCGGCCTCCACGCCTCCCACCTGCCAGAGGGACGCGGGTCAGGCACTCTGGACTGCGCAAAGCGCCCCCACCCCCGCGAAGGAACATTCTGGCTTCAGAGTAGGGATTTCCGGAAGAAACCCCAAAGGTCAAGGTGCCATTTCCCCCTGCAACCCCTACAGGGTGAGCAGACGCTGCTGCTCAGTGTCCATGCAAGGCAGCGGCGTTCACACCCACTCGCTTACACCGGTGGCCTGGCTGACCACACCCCTGGGAATCTCTGACCCAGGCCAGCCACCTGGTGTGGCGAGGGGGTCGCTGCCCCGTGGGTGTGGGAGCAGAGCCGTGGCAACCCCACCGCTGGAGAACAATTAAGCCAGAAACCAGCTAGAGGAAAATGACTGTTCTCATATCTTAGCGGAGTTCGATTTTCCAGTTCTCCTTCACTATGCCTTGGCTTGATGCTTGGCCCCCGGGACGCAGAGCAAAACAGAATCACAGCGCTGGACACTGACGGGAATGCTGACAGAAAGGGCCAGAGCACCGGGGGAAGGGCACTGGCTTTGTGTGTGGCCACCCTGGGTTCAATCTTCAGCACCCAAGATGGTCCCCCTAGCCCGCCAAGACTGATTCCTGAGTGCAAAGCCTGAGTGACCCATAAGCACTGCCAGGAGTGGCCCCAAAACCAAAAAGTCAAAACAGAAAGGGGGGGGGGAGAGAGAGAGAGAGAGAGAGAGAGAGAGAGAGAGAGAGAGAGAGAGAGAGAGAGACCTCAACTAATAATGCCTGAGAGCGCGGTTTTCTTTTTTCGGGTCTGGGGCAGGACTGGGTTCACGTGCTCGGGGGTCACTCGCAGCACGAGGGGTAGCAGCGTCACCCAGGACTGTCTCTGTGAGTCCTGAAGTGCCATGTGCAAAGGCCCTGGCACAGCCTCCGTGGCCAGGCGTGGGCCCTGGGCACTGTGAGTGTGACAAGGAATAAAAGAACAAGAGACAGGTGGCTGGGGTGGCGGCCCTGGGCTGAGAAGAGGCTGCAAAGTTCATCGGCGAAGAATTTGGCACAGAACATGCCGTCCCTGACCCGGAAACAGCCTCCTGGAACAGCACAGCTGGAAGCCAGTCACGTCTCTCAAGACCCTGACTTCATATCCTGGAAATATCATCTGCCCAAAACTGCCGCAAGCCTGTCTCCAGAACATTCTGTCAGAGCTCAGCTGGAGAGAAGGGAAGTGATCTCCCAAGGTCAGGAGAACCACCGCACATCAGCCCGGAGAAGCTCTTCACGGTTGGGCTCTGAGACGCCACAGGACGGACAGAGTGACCTCCCGCTCTGAGACACCATAAGACTGACTGTCCCACTCTGCGACCCCTGCCTACTTGCGAGCACAGACGGGACTTGAGGTCAGAGCTGGGCATTTCCAGTGAGCCCACTGAGGGTCCCTGAGTCTCCAGAGAGAACCAAAGTAGCACAAGCATGGGGGCAGTCTGTCCACTGCCAGTGACAGGGAGTGCCAGGGGCAGGGGACCGCCTTCCACAGGCCTAAGGCTGGAACAGCCGTCTCAGAGCCTCCGAAGGGCTCCTCCGAGGTCAGTCACGTAAACATCGGGGCCAGCTGGCGCAGAACCTGGACTTCCTGTGCGCAGGGAAGAATGGGGCAAAGGGCAGGAGGCCCTTTGGAGAGCCGGGAGGGCGCCAGCCCTGCACGGGAGCTTCGCCTCGGTGCCCCGAGGCCAGCCCCCACTCGCCACGGCCTCCTGACCACGGCTGCGTTAGGCCGTGGAGCGCCAAGCAAACCTTCCTTGAATTAGGAAAAAGACCAAAGAAAGTGTTTGGGTTTTCTTTTTTCCCCCTTCTTCTTTCAGAAAACAGCCATTATGCTGGTTGTGGTCCCCCAAAAAAACCCTCAAAAACTTCATTTTGAAAGGCGTGCTCGAGCTGAGGTATGGAGCGATGGAACAGCACAGCGGGCAGGGCGTTGGCCTTGCACACACCTGCCCGGATGTGGTCCCTGAGCACAGGGCCAGGACTCAGCCCTGAGCACCACCACCAATAAATGAATAACTGATCAGAGTTATTCACCGCAGAGCCAGTGGCAGTGTCCCCGCTCCCTTGTTCCAACGACACTGGTGTCCCTATGTCCGGGTGTGGACGGTTGTGAATGCAAGTTAAAAAAAAAAAGTCTTTTTTCTTCTTTGGGTCTTTGGGTCACACCTGGCGATGCTGAGGGGTGAGTCGTGGCTCTGCATTCAGGAATCATTCCTGCGATGCTTAGGGGACCCTATGGGATACCGGGGAACCCAGTTTGCTGAGTGCAAGGCAAACGCCCTCTCTGCTGTACTACTGCTCCAGCCCCCCAAACAGTCTTTAAACCGTGAGTCTCCTCCAGCTCCAATTCCCTCCCCGTGTTACTCTTTGGCCATCCCTGAACCCTGACCGTGACCCTCCAGGACCCTCCGAGGGCCACCCTGCGCCTGCACAGCTCTCCTCTCCGGCCTCCACAGCTCTGACACCGGCCTGGCGATGGCCATCCCTGTGGTCCCCGGGAAGCCACTGGCTCCGGGCCAGCCCCCAGTCTGTCTGGTCAGAGCCGCCCGCCTCAGACGTCCCCGAGGTGACTTTTCCCGGCCGCTTCCCACGGGTTCTGAAAGCGTTATTGAGTGCTTCTGCTGGGGAGAACAGTTGTCTATAGCCAAGCGCCTCTGCTTAGGGGAGCTGTGCAGAGGAATGGGCTTGGGGTGGACTGAGGATGCCATGTGCAGGGACCTGGTGACCCCCACCAGAAACTCATCTCACAAAGGGTGCCCCCTCGCCCCCACCGAAGGCCTTCCAGGAGCTGCTCAGAGAAACCCAAGAGCAGGTGCTGAGTCTGAAGATCGAGCAACCAAGACAGCAAAACATACTCCTGAGAATGTTCCGGAGACGGGTCCCTACCCGTGGCCTACCCAGGGTCCATCCCCGACACCCCAGATGGTCCCCTGAGCCCTACCAGATCCCTGAGTTCAGCACCAGGAGGAAGCCCTGAGCATGGCCAGGTGTGGCCCAAACACCAAACCACACACGTCTGGAGAGACGGCTCAGGGCTTGCGCACGGAATGGCCTGGAGCGGCTCGGGGTGAGCCCTGTGACGCCCCAAACACAAACATCACAAACCAGAGCAATGGAACCGATTTCCAACTTTGTTCGTTGGTTTGTTTTTTGAGTCACAGTCAGAGTGCTCAGGGCTTACTTCTGGCTTGGTGCTCAGGGATCACTCCGGGATGTGCTTGGGGGACTGTACATGGGACCAAGACTTAAACCCCGGGTCAGAGGCATCCAAAGCACACGGCCTCCCCACGGCATGACCCCTCCACCCTGTTTTGGCTAAACTGGTAAAACTGGCAGCATCCCCGCACGCATCCATCACGCTGGAAACTGCAGGACCAGGTGTCCTGGCTGCTCGTGCTTCCACCCAAACCGCGAGTCTGGGAAAGCTGATGGACCAGACAGGCGAATGGACACCCACCCGCGACCGCTGCCCTCGGCACTCACCAGCACCCGGTCCCCGAGCTTCAGCTCCTGCTCCCCGTTCTTGAGGGAGCCAGCCTCCGAGAGGTTGGAGATGGACTCGCTGGCCGTCCTGGTCAGGTTGCTGATGTGAGGGGTGGCCGGTGCCTCCTTCGCGGAGGGCTGGGGTGCCTTCGGGGCGGCCGCAGGGGCCGGGGCGGCCGACAGGGGCGGTGTGGCCTGGGCAGCAGGCGCTGGCTGCAGGCCGTTGGTCTCATCGTCGGCCTGCCAGCTCCTGCTCAGCTTGGACGGCCGGATGAAGATGCCCTTCAGCGGCTCGCACTGGAAGTAGCGCACACCCGCCACCGAGCCGTCGTTCTTGCCGATGGGCTCGTCCAAGACGATCCCGGCCCACTGACCAGGGGCAAACTGGGTCTCCCCGAGGAACTGGATGAATCCAGGCTTGTTCCCCTTCACCCAGACTCGTTCCCCGACCTGGAAGTCGTCCACAAACTCCTCCTGCGTCTCCGAGGAGGGGGCGCTGGGGGTTTTCTCCCCAGGCACGGACTTCTCAACGGGAGCAGCCGCTGGAACAGCAGAAAGGGTCAGAAGGGTCAGAAGGGTCAGGAAGGGCCTGTCCAGGTCCAGTTAAAGTGTGGTTGGGGGTGGCCACACCCAGCAGTGCTTGGGACTACTCCCAGCCAATGCCGGGGGCTGCTTGTGGTGAAGCCTGGCCGGGCCCGCCGTGAAGGGGACGTGCCTACCTACTGCAGCATCCCAGGCCACAGTCATATTTGGGCAGCTGAGGGGAAATCTTTGGACACACCCCGTGATGCTACGGACCAAGCCAGGAGAAAGCTCCAACACAGTGTCTTATTTCTGCTGTGTCCACTGGCCCATCTTCTTTTTCTTTTAGGGGGGGAGCACTCCAGCCAGTCCGCAGGGCCTATTTCTGGCTCTGCGCTCAGGGTCACTCATGTGAGGTTGAGGCTGGAGAGTCACATGGGGTGCCGGTTGCCCTCCCCACTGTACTGTGGCTACGGCCGGCAATGAGGCCCTTTAGTCCAGGTGAGTCCACCTCCCTCAGCCTGTCCCCAAGCCCGGGCGAGGGGGCTAGCAGTTAGGAGGGAGCGTGTTGGTCGCCTCAGCTGTCACCAGTTGCCGTGACACGAAAGTCACAGAACGTGAGACTCGTGTGTGAGAGCTGTCCCCAGAGCCATGAACGTGCCTACAGCTCAGGGAGCCCTTCCCGGGCGAGGACTCGGGAGGGGGTTCCCGGGTGGAAATGAGTCTCCCCTGGCCCGGGCTGAGCGCACTTACCGGCCGAGGGCGCCTTCAGGGCCCAGCTCCCATGCTTGAGGATCTTGGTGGGGGCCTTCAGCCCGCTGGGCCTCAGCAGACTCATGGTCAGGTGGTCAGACGCTGCCGCGGCCACTACCGGGCCCTGACTGTCGAGCCCACTGTGGGGCCTTCTGAGGCGCACTCGTTCTCAGGGATAAATCTCTGAAGAGCAGAGGAGAGAGTCTGTCTCACGGGAGCGACCACAGCAGCTTCCGGAGCCCAGAGAGCTGCCAGTCTGAGACTCGCCACCCCGAGTGCGACCCCCAGCCTCCCGCACAGCCCCCTGAGCCCACCAAGTGTCATTCCTGCACAAAAACTCAATCCCAAACAGACAAACAAACAACAGCAGATTCAGGGCCAGAGGGCAGAGGGGACAGGTACTTGCCCTGCGGGCAGCTGACCCTCACGCCCTCCCTGGCATCACACCCACCCCCAAACACATTCAGGAGCCAGAAATCGTCCCTGTGCACTGTGAGTGCCACTGACCACCTTCCCGTCCAGACACTGACTAGCCGGGAGGCGACTCAGCAGTGATGGCTGGTCTTGTGTGTGCATGTGTGCGTATGTATGTGTGTGAGAGGCCCGGGGTTACACACAGAAGCTAAGGCAAGCAACAGGCACACTTTTTTCTATGGGCTGAGAAGTGCCAGGGAAAAGGGCCCAGCAAGACTGCGCCAAAGGGGGGCTGGAGAGCGATAGCACAGTGGGTAGGGCGTTTGCCTTGCACGTGGCCGACCCAGGTTCGATTCCCAGCATCCCATATGGTCCCCTGAGCACTGCCAGGACTGATTCCTGAGTGCAGACCCAGGAGTAAATCCTGTGCATCACCAGGTGCGACCCAAAAAGAAAAAAAATTGCGCCAAAGGGGAGCGAAGGAGGTTTTGGCGTTTCCTTCGTTCCTTGTGACGGTGCCCAAGTTTGATAACCACAAGCCAGTATTAACTGCATTTCTTAACCCACAGAACTGAGGCAGACATGTGGATGGGGGAAGCATCGCCATGGCAATGGAACTCCGAGGAAGTCAACAATAGCTTCATGGCCACCAAAAGACCACCTGAGGGCACGGGACCCAAGGTCTGGTCAAAATTAACCCACATTAGGAGGCCCAGAGCAGGCTGGACCCCCCGAGGGAATAGGAACAAAGGCCAGGAAAGGAATTTCTAAGAGGACCTTGGACCACTCAACTCTACCCCCTTGGCAACCACCCTAGCAACGGACTCTAGGTAGCTAGAAACTCCCACCAGGGGCAGCCTGGGGAAAACCCGAGATTAGCCCCCTTGAACCAAGGGAGGGCGCTCATGTGTGCCCGAGCCCAGGGACTGCTCTTGCCTACGAGGTCGGTCATGTCACGGGCTTCTCCCCTCCTGAGGTGTGGACTTTCGGACCGAACGCAACCAGGCAACCTAACGTGTTCAGTGGCTTTCTGCGCCTCTGGAGAAGCCGCACTCTCTCTCGAGCGTGTTACTCCCTCCCTCATTTCCCCTTCCTAAAAGCCTCCAAATAAAATGTTCCTGCTTCATGCTCATCTCCTGAAATGATTTTCTGCGAGAAGGACAAAGGCCCGGGGGCCTGAGGAGGTCGAGGATCGACTCCCTTTCCCTGAAAAGGGCAACCCCTCACTCCGGCCCGAGACCCCGGGAAGGCCTAGTGGGTGTCGTGTGGCTGGTAGGGCTCGTCGCGCTCATCAGTGCCAGCGCTCCAGCCAGTCCCGGGGGAGTGACATCTTCTCCTCTGCTTCTCATCAGCCCCCCATGAGGGCCCACTGACTTCAGAGTCATTCCGTATTTAATAGAAAAGTCCGCAGGGGGCAGAGAGGCAGGACAGTGGGGAGGGCACTTGCCTTCTATCCAGTTGTCCTGGGCTCGATCTCCGTCAGCACAGGGACGTTAGCCGGCCAGGGTGACCCCTGGGCACAGCCAGGTATGGCCACCCCACCCCACCCCACCCCCACCCCCCAAAAATATATATATATATAACTACTAAAAAAACTTAAACGAACTACAGATTAAAAACTATCATACACTAAAGAACTGTTAGAGAAAAAAGCCACCCGCACGCGGGCAAAAAGCCCAGAGACTCAGATTCACCTGTGTCACACTGCACTCGCAGCTTAAAGAACTGAGCTCTGCCAAACAGGCTCGTGCCAGTCTCCTACAGAGACTGAAAATGGCACTTGGAGTCTAGAATGTTCCAAGGTAGAATGAGAATTCCGCAAGGAGGAGGGCATCATGGGCCCTTCTTAAAGGGGCAGGCGCCACCCTTCGTGATGCCAGGGTCCGGCTGAGGCTCCGGAGGGCTGCCCTGCAGATGCCAGCACTAGCTGGCCAATGTGCCTCTGGTCCCTGCGGGGCCCAGTTCTGGACTCCTGGGCCCTGAGAAAGTGGTTTCAGAAAACGTTTGACAAATGTTTGGCAGTTACAGATCTCCAACTGAGGTCATTCGGCGTCCCCCGAGTGTGACCTGGACCCAGTGACTGTGCCCAGGGCCCTCCTCAGGAGCTGGGCCATAAAATCTATGGGCGGGCGGGGGCGGGGGCGGAGGGGCAGAGTGACAGGGCAGAGGCCCTGAGCCCGACCCTGATAGCCCTGCTCTCTGTGACCCCAGTGCTGTGAGCAACACCTGCCGCACTGTGGCCAGGGCGTGGCCCAGCCCACTAAGGCCTGAGAGCTGTACAGAGGAGTCTGGCCTGGCCTGCTCGGATGGGAGCACAAGCTGAATGAGTGCGGGTCCCCTCGAGGATGAGTGAGCAGGAACGGGGGAGTGGTGGGGAGGTGGGGAGGGTGGAGTGACCTAACCTGGGGGCTCAGGTCGGGACACTTGGACGGGACACCTGGCCGTGCTCAGGGCCGACTTTGATCCAGTCATCGGGGCTCATGCTGGCAGGACCTGGCGGGGGGGGGGGGGGGGTGACGTACAGGGTGGGGTGGGGTCAGCCGCAGGCAAGGCAGGCTCCTTGGCCCTGGGCTACCTTTCCGGTCAAGGATACCTATTTTCTTTCTTTCCTTTTGTTTTATGGGACACCCGGCAGTGCTCAGGGTTACTCCTGGGTCTGCTCTCGGGAATCACTCCTGGCGGTGCTCAGGGGGACCTATGGGGTGAGCCATGCACCAGGCAAGCGCCAAGTCTTGATGCCAAGGTGCCCACGAAACACAGTGTGCAACAAGGGACTCTACAGAGAACGTCAGGGCCAGCAAACGCTACGAGGAAGTCAATCAATTCTGAAAAAAACACAAAAAGATGCAAAAGGAGGGGCTGAAGTGAGAGCACAGTGGGGAGGGGTTTGCCTTGCTCACGGCTGACCAAGATTCGATCACCAGTCCTGAGCACTGCCAGGAGTAATTCCTGAGCATCCCTGAGTGTGACCCAAAAAGCCAAAAAAAAGAAAAAAACAGCGCGAAAGAAAATGTGTTTGAGCCTCACTGTCTCCCTGAGACTTGAGCACTCAGTGCCGTGTGTGAGCCCAGTAGAGTCTCCGGCCTAAACATGCCCCGACCCCCTCACCCCCATGCTCCTGTGTTTGGACCGTGACCCTAAATCCTGTGATGGGACCACATGTGTCCATGACAAAGACGCTAGCAGGCTCACGCCCCAGAACGTCCCTGCTTCACACAGGCGTGGCACACGGGTCCTGGCCTGCTAGTGGCCGGCAGTGATTTGGCAGGAAGCAGAGGTGTGAGCCTGAACGTGGGTCAAGTACGTTCCTTCAGCCTGGAGGGGAGGAATGTCCGAGAGGGGGTTTTGAGCACTGCCTCACAAGCATGAGGTCCTGAGTCCAAGTCCCAGGGGTCACATGTGCACCTGGCACAAAGCCGGCACAAACCAGGCAGCTCTGCTGTCCCAGCACCACGCAGGAAGGGGGGTGACCCCAGGGGGAGGGCCACCGAGAGAGGAGGGGGACACCACAGAAAGGAGGAGGGAACACAGGGCAGGAGTTGAGGGCTGCAGGGCCGGGAGCACCGGGCAGAGAGCAGCCCTGGGGAGCAGGAGGCCAGGAGGGCGCACCTTGTCACTGGCCACTCGAGGCCGTGTGCAGACCCACGAGGCTGACAGGGCGCCAGCGACGGGGCAACCCCAGCAAGGATTTTTCTTTAAGTTTTGGGCCACGGGGCCAGAACTCTAGTACAGCGGGGAGGGCGTTTGCCTTGCACACAACTGACCTGGGTTCAATCCCGGCATCCCATAGGGACCCCAGAGCACCTCCAGGAGTAAGTCCTGAGTGCAGAGCCAGGAGTGACCCCGGAACATGTCCAGGTGTGACCCAAAATCAAAACAACAGCAGAGCAAGCGGAAGGGCCCGGAAGCTCTGAGCCACGGAAACGCCGAGGTTGGTTGGTGCCCACTCGCCTCCGCCCCCTGCCAGGCCAGGCCGGCCTGGGATCAAGGTGCCCGAGCGTCTCCAGACAGGATCTGCCTCAGCGGCTCGGTGCGTTATCTCAGCCTATCACCCAACTCGACTGGGATTGACTCTGGTTATCTCCTTGACTGGTTATCTTGGGCATCTCAGGGGCCAGCCGCCAAACTCCGTCCTCCCACCTGGCCAGGGCGGGATCAGGTGTCAGCAGCTGGGCCCTGAACACCCCACCTGCCCGTCCAAACGCAAAGCAAGCACAAAGCCAGGCTCGCCCCCAACTCGTAGGACACGACCAAGCTAGGGGCCCCGGAGAGCACTGGGCCCGAGGAAGGGTCCCAGAGATCCCCAAATTTCCCTTGCTCGACGGCCCGGCCCAGCAATCTGCATCAACCACTGGGCCCGAGCTCTCTGCTTTCCTTCTGCTTGCTCAGCGAGACGCAGCACCTCACACCTTTGTTTGGAGGGGAGGAACACCAAACTTTTTTTTTTTGGCTTTTTGGGTCACACCTGGTGATGCACAAGGGTTATTCCTGGCTCTGCACTCACAGGGGTTACTCCTGGCTCTGCACTCAGGAGACCATATGGATGCTGGGACTCAAACCCGGGATGGCCACGTGAAAGACACACGCCCTACCCACTGTGTATCTCTCCAGCCCCGGAACTCCAAACTTTATATAGAAAACAACGTATTTCACAATGCCTTTTCAGCCATT